TTTGTCTGTAGTTTGTCGTATAGCCGTCTTTGATTTCAAATGGACTTTTTGAGAATTTATCGAATTACCAACAAACTTAAAGAACTATATTACGAATAAAGCTCTTGTGAAACAGCATTTTTTTATAGCCATTACGGTACTTTTATTTTTGTAAAATCCAAAACTGATTCGTTTGTATTCAAATTTATACAAAGTATTAGATGATAATTTCGAACGATTGTGATCTCACTGATTCTTGAAGAATATGCTTCTACAGCAAAAACTTTGAAATATTTAAACCCAAGCCTAAAAAATTTGCAAAAAAAATTTCTTGAAAGCGAGATCCTTACATACAAATGCGATGAAACTGTGTGCTATTTTTTCTTTTTTTTTCAAAATTTCCTGTTTCACACCTTACTGTAATAGCTCCTAATCCTACTGTAGGTCCATCCCAACCTCCCCTCCCCCCCCCCCTACCTTAATCCGTAAAGCACACTACTTGGCCGAGGGTCAATGCAGCCGCAAAGTGTGAGTAGCACCAGGTGCTAAGCGATACATCTAATCTGATGATCCTATTAAATTGTTCCATAGGCATATGTTTGTGTGTTGTTGATGCGGCAAGTCTTTGAGCCCGGGGAGCCGAAACGCGGCTCACTATCTTATATGGGCATCTTGATTACATTACCTTGCACATGCGTACATCATACAACTATCTCACTTTTGGAGCCGTCAGGTATCGCCATATTATGTAACACTTGATTTTTCGGACTTTTTTGGTAATCAATTTCGTACAAGCATTTTATGATAAAAATAATAAAAGTGTTGAGGTACTATTTTTTTCAACAAATCCTGAATCCGCCACATACTTATTATCCCGTTTATGTATTCAACAAAATTTTTCTGTTTCAACCTTCGTATTTTCTTCTTCAAAAACACAGTACCAGTTTAACAAAAACTCACTGTTTCAAGGGACTATGTTTGAAGACTAGTGAACCAGTAATCGAAAGGCGCAATTTGCAAGAGTGTTCGTCTCGGGACCCGCCGGGGTTCCCGCTATTGGAAGATTTTTGATTTGAACTAATTCTTTATATATTAGATTTCAAGGAGAGTCATGTAATTTTGTAGAATTTCCTGTTTCAAGTCAACTTGATCCCAGTTCCAAAGAAGATGTCATGTTTATGAGAGGTCATAATTTCATATTCATTTGAAAGTATTCTGGAGAAAACCTTTTACCGCAAAAGTTCCGGTTTCAACTTCTCTTGATTTTCCTTCTGTTTTTGAGTACTGGGAATTTATCGGGAAAATACGGTCTTAAAATTTATTGTGGGGGTTTCAATCGGTTTGGTCTTTTTGCAAAAATTCTCGTTTCAACTTCATTTATTCCCACACTCAGAATCACCACCCCACTTTTCCAAAGTTACCGTTTCAAATTCGAATTTTTGCAAAATTTCCAGTTTCAACTCCTTTTATTCTTCCTTCCAGAAAATTATTGCCATGATTCTACCAAATTTCAGTGTTTTATGACTTTTCCCCAAAGTTTTTTGATGACGAACTCCAGACCAACCATATATCTTTGATCGCTGTGGTGGTATATTTCAGCGTATGTTTTCTCAGTATGAAGGTTACGATCTCCACGCATCGCACATAAACTAACAGACACACCACACGGCCACACACATTGTCTGTGTGGCATATCTAGTGAACGTTTGATGAAACAGGAAGTTTTTACTGTAATAAATTGATAAAATAGTTGATATTGCTCAAAATGAGGCATAAGATGCGAAAAATATCTCGAAAGTCATAGCTAATGTTCAATGTTTGATTTTAATGGGTGCTGTATCAATTTTCCTCTAGAATCTGTACAAAAATTCTACAAACGCTAAAAATCAAAATAAATTTCTCTGAGCAAGCTTTATATCACTGAAAAAGACTCTTAAATGACCAGTTATAACAGTCATGTCCCTAAAAAATAGGAAATTGAGGCTTCTCGTACCCAGCAAGCAACAAAATATTGCATCTTGTAAGATTATACTACACTCATCCATTTTTTGAATTGCTCTCACAATAGGCTTTTCCTTCCCACGATCTCAGCCCTTCCTTCGAATGTTTACATCAGTTCTGTGCCAAAGTATGTACTGCAAAAAAGTGTTTCCTGATTTCTGCCTAAAATTAGCCCAATTGACAGAACCAGTGATAAATTGACGTTTCGAAGGAGGTTTATTGCTAAGGCAAAATGACTACAATCATTTTACATTCGCAGAATCTTGTTTTAAATCAAAAATAACACAAAATTATTAGTTTGAGTTACCATATGATGAAGTCAGGAACGAGATTCCAAGAGCAAGATCTTATTCACTGTTTCACCGCCTGTTTATATTAGAAAATTCACTGTAGTTAGGCAATTTTTGATTCCAGCAAGCCAAATCCTGTTCCAGAAGCATGTGCAATATGCGGTAACCTTAGAGACAGCCGCCGACGCATAACGCGCTGCATTTGCAGCACTAGTCGTAGAGCGTAAAAGCGTTCAGCTATAATAGGCTTTGGTCATATATATGGTATATAGTTGCATTACGGCCATTTCGGGCTGGGGCGAATGTCGTCGCAGCGGCCGGGCGGCGGGGGGTGCGGCCGCGCGCCGCAGGTGGCCGGCGCTGATTGGTGGCGGGTACGGTAGCCAAGGGGCGGTCGCGCGCCGGCCGGGCTGGGCGGGCGGGCTGGCCGGCGCCCCGCACACGGCGCACCACGGCGCATCGCGCGGCCTTATAAAACTTTTTAACTATCCATTTTACTTTGTTAGTGGCGCGTTTTATTGTATGGCTATTTGGTGAGGTGTTCGTATGCGCTGCGTTTGATCGACGGCTCTTTATGCGCACTCAGCTGAGAGAGCCGCTCACTGAGAGCAGCACAAACACACACAAGCGACACACACATCTACGACCATTAAGCATGGTTACGGGCACTTACTAGATACATCTATGGCACATTATACACACACTCGTATCGAAATAAACGATTACGCGCCTATCGTTTTAGGAGTCATTAAGTGCTGTTCTCGAATTTATTTGCACATTGCAATATAACTTTAGTGCCGCCCGCAGCCAACCACCGTCAAATTAACTTCCGCTCTTCTAATTTGATTTATTTATTGCTCGTCATCGATTTCATCTCTTCATATCTCATTATATGGTATTCGCTACAATCTCACTTCCTGAAGTCCAGAATAACTCAATAGCAGTGAAAACGCGGAACCGTGTAATCCGTGCCAGAGCCGCTTAACCCGTTGTAAATTTCAATCGTCTGTTGATCACCTCGATATCGTGCATTGCGACTTCCTCTGGATCTTTGTTGCATGAAAAATGGATTTTTGCAAGTTGATTCCTTCTGACATCGTCAAACATTTCTTTTCTTATTCGAGCTTGGAAAATCTTGAAACACGATTCGATTTTCCCAAAATTATGGGAAGACTGGAATCTTTAAAGACTTGAAAATTCAAGATAAAGTGAAAAAGTAATTTCTCTTTGAAAGCATCCTCTTTCTCGCATAACATTCTTGATAATGGGGAAAGAGACTTCCGAGCTCAAATGATTCGAGTTAATTTGAAGAACAAATTGAAACCTGTAGCCTCTTTGAATGTCAAAATATTATCTATCAAAATTATAACATCAAAGAAAACATTTTCATTCCAGTAAATCGTGTGAAGATGTTTTCTCTTTCTGTCTTTTCTCGTTTTATTGTCTTTTTTGATTTTTGTATGCAAGTGGATTTTCTGCCAAATATTTGTTTTTTCAACCAGATCACCACAGAGACCACTTCTGGAAAATGAAGAAGTGTAAGTATCAATTCAGAAAAGAGAAAAACTGATTCTCAAATTTGAAAAGTTTCATTGGAACGGTAGTTCAAAAATATGGTTTTCACATTCAAGGAGAATGAAATGAAATGGTATTTCAAAGACACATTCTATCATTACAACTTCTTCCTTTACCGTTCCGCATTTACCCATTTCCAAGGAAAAATTCATTGCTCATATTACCTTTCTCCACATCCTTAATGAAGTAGATTCTTCCGTTTCCCTTAGTGTCGCGTTCATAAAATTCCTTCCATTTTGCCCACAACCCTCCAAACACATTAATCCGATTCATAAGAGGCGTTTTTGTCGGGTACTTAAACGGGGGATTTTTTGTTCGTATTCTACTAGAGTAGGAGAGGTTTCCCACGATTGCTGCGAGGCTGCCTCGTCGATACCCGCGCAGCGCGCGGGTTACTGTACGAGCGACGGCGGAAGGTAGCGCTAGTGGCGGGACGTTGGGCTGTACGTTGTAAAACTCGCTTTTCGTACTAACTTTCGTTCGCACTTTGCATTATTTACGTTGTTTGGTGATACTATTAATCAGGCGGAAAGATCTGACCGTATATTTTTTGGCGCTGTGCCAAGCGGGTGTAAAAATACACGCGCAGGAACGGTAGAGATGCCGAAAATGCTGCGCACACGTTGTTCAACATGTTAAGACTTGTTTTTGTTCCTATTTCTGGTAGCAATGCGTCAAAATCAGGTAGATCACAAGTATCAACCTGTCAACACATGTGCACAGCGTTGATTAGATCTCCTAGCCTGCAGAATTTTATGCGCTCTTCCCCCCCCCTCTCTCTCCCCCTACCTCCCCACTCACCTTCCGGAAGGGCAACTTTGACAAGTACCAGTAACTCTATAAACTCGACACATTCACTTATGCAGCCGCACCACACCACACACAAAACCGGACGATCACATATCGCCCATGGCGCGTTATTGATCGATTAGAGCGCACTGATGCTCGTAAAACTTCTCATCGCCACCACCACGACGGCTGCGCTGTCGCGCCGCGCTCGCCGTCGTCGCCGCACTAACTATTCTCTCCCAAACACCCAATTCTTCGTGCCCATATTTATGACACGGGATTAATAGTGATCTTGTCATAACGAACGCTCCGAAAATTGCTATGCGTCTAGAGATCGATATAGCAAATCAATTATTGATTACTTGCAGAAAATACATATTTGAAGTGCTGAGCAACGCGACTAGCCTATCGACAGACTTATGCTATGATTTCTGTGATGCAGATGATGAACCAAGGTCCAAACAACAGGTGAGCTGATATCCTGAGGTTGTGCTTATCGAAAGCCGTGAAGTGTGAAACATTTTGTGCAGAAGGAAAGGAGGAAGGGAGATTAGAGGGGGAGGAATAAGATGAAAGTGACTTTTGGAGCTTCCTTTTGCATCTGGTCGAGGTGACTATTAGGATACTGGAAGTCTCAGGAAATCTGTGCTTTTATCGTACACAGAGTGTGATCTACACACGACATCAGTGAATTCACGCCTAAGTTAGTGTATAAGGGCATCAAAATGCTTGTTTCGCTCAAAATTACGAAATTATGAGCAAACTTCTTTGTTAAGGTAGGAAAGCTTCAATTACAACTCATCCTTCCTCCTTCCTTGCCCCTAAAATTTCCCCCCCCCCTCCCCCTCCCCCCACTTTTTTTCACTGGGAAGACTAACGAAGGAGTGCAAAGTCGGCAGCAAAAACTCAAAAATTTCTTTGGAGCATTAGTAGTTACATGTACATATAGCCCCCCCCCCCCCTACTTAACCATGGAAAAAAATTCTGACCTCCAAATACCGTAACTTAGAGCGTTCCGATGCAATTAGCAATGAATTCTCAATACCTCATAACTACCTCATAAAATCATAGCAACCATGCCCCATGATTTGCTTCCTTTCGCAAAAAACCATCCGAACCACATAATATCGTTAATTGGGTAATTGCTGGTATTTATGAGGATTTTTCGTTCGTTTCACATTGGTGGAGAAACTTCGTTAGACACGATGACACCAGCCATAGACATAGAAGAACTTTTCTTGTGCGCATCGACGCCGTTCCCATTCGGTTACATTGGGGCCTAGGGCGCGCAATTCTGCGCCCCCTCTCTCGCTCTGCGCCCTAATGATGGCTTTATTCAGCGGTTTCAATCTGAATCCGGGAGCTGCACGGAGCTTACCCACTGGAGCATTTTGGCCTCAACCACAAGCACAACAAACCAGTGATGCACAATCGGAACGAAGTAATAGCGAGGCATCACCGCCGATTGTCCCAACAAGGTACGTGCGGTCTCGACTGGATAGAGTCGGTCGATTTATTGATTGGTTTGACGAAAGGAGTAATCGATAAATTGATTTGTGTAGCTTCAGCACAGCAGTGAATCACATGTCACACAACTACACACCAGGGTATCCGGAATGGCAAGCGGCACAGAAAGCCTTTGCTGCGGCTCAAAGCGTAAATGGAGCCGCCGCAGGAGCGAAATTCCCGCCAGGACCGAGTGGTCAGTTTTGAAGATTTGGCGCGTAATTTGAACTTGCCTAGCGAATTGTTCGAGCATTCAAAAACAAAATCAGCATTTACAGTAATTGGTTCCACCTATTCTATTGCACGGTCAGATTTTATCGAGCAAAGTGTGCAATTACACAAGTCGTACATCCAATTCAAAAAGTTTGCAGCTCTTTTTCTTCATCGCCAAATGAGCCCTAAACGCTGCCTATCTTTAGAAAACCAGATCATAGACCTAATGACTTTTCTCCTTGATTTTTTGTCAAAGGCTATCTTGACTCCGACAAACTCTTCAAGTTTAGGGTTCGACATGATGTCAGCGGCAGTGAATCCGATGTGCCCATCAGAGTTCTACCATCCTGGAATCACGTGGCCCGGTTATCAATACGGTCAACAGTATCCATTTGCTACAGGACCCTATGCACAGCATATGATGGATATCCCTGGATTAACAGGTTTGAAATCATAATGAACTTGTCAAGTGGTCTTGTGGGTGTGAGTAGGAGGAAGCTTGAAGAAGGTAGTTAGATACATACGGAAAAAGGGAGGATAGGAGGATTGAGATGTGTCAAGTGACCCGCTTATCAGTACTGTCAACAGTACCCATTCGCTACGGGACCTTGCGGACAACTTGTGATGGATAACCCTGGATTGACAGGTTTGAGCTAATAAGTTGAACTTGTCAAGACTGGTCTTGTAGTAGGAGGAACTTTCTCGAAAGAGAGTTTTCATGTGGCCAGCTTAACTACACAGTCAAGAGCATGTAATCGCTACAGGACCTCATGCACAGTGTATGGAGGATGTCCTGATTTGACATGTTTACGGTAGTTCAACTTGTCAGGCAGGTTGAAAGGGTAAAGATATGGTTAAGGAGAGAAGTTAGAGTACAGAAAAAGGGAAAATTCCTCAGAAACGTGGAAGATTCCGTGGATGGTGGAAGAAGCATATTCTTAGTATGGGAAGGACTTCTGCCTGAAGGGAATGCGCCATCTTTCCCACACGGAAGAGATTTTTCCCGCGAGTTGTAGGTGCTGCCCAGATACCAAGAAAAGCTTCGACATTGACTAGGTAAACAAAAAAAACCAATAGACGTCTGTCAGAGACCGGAGCGATGGTAGAGACGAGCAAATAGGCGAATCAATATCGCCCCGCCGTACCATTTACGATGGTCATGAAACAGCCCATCGGAGGCATCAAAACTGCTTACGTGGTGTGGTCTCTCCGCGAATCTGCGTGTGTGTATAGTCATTCGATCACCACTCGCTAATACAGCCAACGTTCGTACAGATCCTAGTCCGGCTCGAGCTTCTGTTCAGCTCTTTTTTGCTTTCCAATCGCAGTGATCCCTCTTTATCTCGGGTACGGTAGCTACAGTAACCCCCTCAATGCTGCGCATTGCGCACATATGTGTGTCTGTGCGGCGGCATGGTTCTTTCAAGTTACACTCTTGCCGGCCAGGACCATCTCATGTGATCTTTCGAGGGTATGTTTTTGCACTGATACGGTATTCTAGTACTAAAAGGGATGTTGTTTTTTGTTCCGCGCGCAAAATGACCCAGTCATTGAAAAAGTAGACTTCGATTTGCTTATCGGAACAGAAATGACGAGCATCTGATTGTTTGGACTTCAATTTCTGTAAAATATCTCCGCCTCAACTGCAGCCGACTGTATTTATCACTCGAGATTTTCCATGAAACCGGAAAATTAAGTAAAAAACGATTGCGTCTGAGCTTTTTCTCCTAAAAATCTCTCTTTGCGCTATCCTTTCATGATGTGCTTTTTGCTCATTTTAATGTTCGCAATGGTCTTTCAATCAGAATTTATTATTATAAAGCACATACTCAAACTTATTTATGGCCATCATTGAGATGTTTGGAAAATTGCTACAGTAGCCAGAAACAGCAAAACCAGCTCTTGCGCGTTCGGCAAATGGTCAAAGAGAGATCTCATCAAATTCAAATACTTCTGGCATTTTTTATGAAGTGCTAGCCACTGAAACTTCAATTCGGAGAATTCGTAGAATTCGTTCTGACCGAGCGAGATCCAACGATAATGATTTAATGAAATTGAGAATTCTAATAAACTACTGTAATGAATTTCGAAGGTACAGCTATAGAATATTGATTTGCTTCCCAATAACCAGGCTTAAAAATTAGCGAGACACTCAAAAACAAAAATTATATACGCAAGGATTAAAAATCTCATTTTCATAAACTTTGGAGTCCCTTTTACTATGTATTATCTATTGAAATGTACAGTGCTGGTTACGTCATGGACTTTCAAACAGCTCTGATTACCAGTAAAATCTTTGATTTGTTAGTTGTGATTTAGCTAATATTGTTTACCAAGTTGATTTTTGTTGGAAACTTATCATGAGGAATTATCCTGTATTGATCAAGGGCTGTCAAAGAAAGAAAGTTAATGTAGATTACTCAAATTGATTTTTGTGAAGATTTTTGCTGATGTATTGAGGCTCCAAAGGAAAAGGACTCAAAGGAATAAAATAATGCTCACATTTTACCTAGGAATGGCATCTTTTTCTTCAGAAGGTCATGCTTCAATCAGTTCATTGTCCTCTCTCAGAGCATAGAATTATTTTCAAAACTTTACAGCAAGCAGCTTCATCCATGTTGTGATCAGATTTTGGAGCTTTAGAAGCTATCATATAAATTACTTAAGAAAATAATCACCATTCCTTGTAGAATAGAATTTTATACAACTTCTCTATCGCTTGAATATTTGAATACTCTTCCTTGAGCATATCAATGATACCGTGCTCTATCGGCCATTGTTTTGATAAAAATTGCGCAAGAAGACTTGCACTTGTTTACGATCCTTTACCTGCCGCCAGAAGTCTACCCTATCTACCCTAAGTGTGTATATGTGTACACTACCTGACAGCTCACTCTATCCACACACACAACTCTCAGCTCGGCAGCCGTACCGACGCCATCTGGTCTATAAAAGTAGCGCCGTGGCATTTAATTAAGCTGTAAATGCGCAGCGAATGCGGTAGGATGCAAAGCCGCAAAGCTGAGGCCAGCCGTCGTCGACGGGGGCATAATACACATTATCCATCCGCTCATATCCGTGCAAGGACCGCCAACAAAACCGCTTTCAGCCTTTGCAGAAAAGTTATGGAATCATACGTGAACGAGGCCATTTATGACGAGCGCAGTGGAGTGCGCGTTTGAGTTTTTTTTCTGGTTACGGTAGCGTGCACATTCCACTCTACATCTCCACTAAATTAGAGAGAACATTCACCTCATTCAGACTGCACGGTGCCCGTTGTGCAGCATGAAACCGAAAAGGTGCGCGCCTCGGCAAAAACCTAACTCGCTGGCTGCCTCGCGTGCTACCGTAATCCGAGGACGCGCACTCGCCGCGCGCGCGACCGTCGCCGCGCAGAGTGCGCGCGCTAATTGTGAGGTGTGTTTTTAATCCGAAAATGCGGCTCGGTATGGATCGTAAAGTAAAGATTGACGGACGGATAGTCACCATGGGGATCACTCTCGCGTTACTAGAGTACTCTGCGCCTTTGCAGTGCACTTTTTTCTCTGGAAATGTAGAGATTGTTGGATTCTTGGGCTGGGAAGATTTGACTATGGTAAAATGAGGCATTTACAGCTTTGATGTTCTCGTCTAGGTCTCTAGCAGTATTTGAACAGCGCGAAAGCAATACAAGACCTCACCGAACTTTCGGGCTCTTATCTATAATATCTCATCGTTTGGTTTTCTTGTAAACTCGCAATTTTTCGTGGATTATTGATAATATTGAATAGGTCTACCTCAATCTGCGCTTTCTTAGTTGTTATGAAACTAACCCGAAGAGTCATCAGTCACGAAATCCCTGGTTTATACCCACTTTTTATATAATTCATTTCAAGTTTCATCAAATCTAAACTTCAGAGACGAAGTTTATTGAAGAAATTGTTTTCAGAAATTCCGACTAAACTAGAGTAAGCGGATCTTTCGAATTACCCTATATAGCGGGTGACACTATTCCGCCACAATTTGGTTCGCTATAACAAAAATAGATTTTTTTATAATCTCTTTGTAATTATCAATAGGTAACTAATCATATATGTTCCTTAACGTTTGATAGCGACGAGATTTTGCACAGCTTTTTAACCGGTAACTAATATCGTCATCAATAGGTTAAGGGCATCGAACTAAACCATTGTTTGTATCATTCTCTGATTTTGAAAAGTAGGGCAAGAAGAGCTTCCTGTCTAAAACATTTTGACTGCGCCCATGTAACCATTCGTTGTAACTCATGTCCTAGTCTCTACTGTTCTTTAATTTAAGGCAAGTCAATTTTTGCGTAAACCAAAACATTTTTTGCCCACGGAAAATAAAACTTTTGACTTTTTCTTCAGAATGCCCAAAGTGTTCATGTTGTTGAATTTGCAGTTGAACTTCATATTTGCTTTGAAAGATGAGTTTGAAACTCAAATCGGACCCCCTTCTAGTTCCTCACTGCACTTTCCTCGTGATTCCTTCGGAGCGAAAAGTAAATATGCGATATTTTGTTTCCCTCCATATGCTCGATCGTCGCGCTTCACATTCGTCACTCTTCGCCAAAATTCCTCTCATAAAGCGCAGTGGCATAAATTCAAAAACTCTCATTGGAAGTGTTACCAGAGGGTAAAGTCCTTGAGTTTGGACGATCGTAAACCGGGGTTCGTAGCCGTTTCTGAGAAGGGACAGATGGCGTCGAGCGATAGGCGCTCGACTTCTTTTGCTTCTTCGGCCCCGGTTCTGAAGCCGACGACTCGTCTTGCATACGGCCTTGTGTTTGCGCGCGTGCGTGTGCTGGCTGTGTGTGCTCTTTGCCAGAAAGAACTTCGCTGACGCGACACAACGATCGTAAAATATCCGTACTGTAGGTGCTCGGGTGTGAAAGTGTGTTGACGAGTCAAAACAACTCCTCTTTGGGGTCGGCGGTGGAGCTTTTGAGGGGTTATGCGGAAGTTACGCCGAGTTTTACAGTCTCCAATCCTTCGTGATTTACTTTCGCGCGCGTCGATCGATCCGTCCGTCAGATGTCGACGCGAGGTGACATTTACGAATAGCCGGCGAAGATTTAGTGTCTTGTACGTGCCTGAGGACATGCACTCACGGTCACTCAGGTGCATTCGAGAAGTTGAGCAAATGTTGGTATTGAGTTATCAGGGGTTATGGTAGGGTTATGGTAATGAGTTTAGGGTGCTTGGGCAAGTAGAATCGCTAAAGACAGTATTCTGGCAAATGAAGTAAAATTACTAACTCTAAACCTGTCGTGTGGGTAAAGCTCTCAAACTCAGTAGCATTAACGGCAGAAATTAGAACACTTTCTGTCGTCTGTAGCGTCGTTCGGAGAAATCTTAATATGAAAGCATTAATCTTTGGGAGTTCTATTCTGAGCTCCCAAAAGATTTATAATACTCTCTGAGTTTGACCGTATGTCAGTAATGTTCTCAGAGCTTTCTAAGAAAATTTGTCAGTTCAGTTCTCAGATCTTTTTTTCCGACGACAATCCGTTTTGACAGTTGGAGTCACAGGACAGTTGAGCTCCGGATAAGATTTTTTTTTTGAAATCTAATTTCGTACAATATCCCGAGAAATGGTTCATAGCAGTGTGTCGAAATGGAATTTCTTTCCAACGACACTCCGATCGACAGGGGAATGGCCACTGAACGGCAAGCGAGGATCCCGCGAACCGGTTCAGGAGCTCACACATCATTGTAGGAGTAGTGCTCTATCATCGAACTTACTCAGCGGTCCTCTGTCTTTCAAAATTCGAGCAATGAAAACTTTGGAGGGATATTTCCTACAAGCTTGAGCAGCCTCAAGCGATTCCAGTCACCGCGCATTTGGCAAAGTGCCAATCATTCATAATTTGCAGAGAACTGAATGTACGGTGCTTGTGCAGCATTTGCAGAAATACAATAAAAACGTGTGCTCCATGCAATGCATCGTTTGAAAATTGGCTCTTTGCCAAATCGCGGCTACCGTAGTCCCGCCGGATAGGTCCAGGGCCTTAGGTAGTTAGCTTGAAAGTACCGAATTCTCGAGTGATCTCAGCATAGCCCTCGCATTGATAGATGTTGGAAGGCAAGTGTTTTCTTATACAATAGAGCCTTTTCTCTCCCTCTCCTACTTTCCTAATTTTACCCTATCCGATTACGATCATTGAACAACTCAAAGTATCACTGATACAAGCACCTCTCTCTCTCTCTTCGTTTCCCATCCGCACAGCTCGTTCGATTTTTTCGTCATTTGTATGTGAGAGTGAGTCATCGTCTGATAAATGCAGCGAATCAAAACCTTTCATCTTGCCGACAATTACATTCGAACTGACACTTGACGCAAAACAAACGCTATCGTCGTGCCCTGGCCGAACACACCGGTGCCGGTGAATCGATTCAGGGACCTGAAAAGTCGATGTATGCGACTCGACGAGCGCCGGCTGCAGCTGCTGTTGTGATTTACACGATTAATTTAATTAACTCTGTGTAAACATGAGCAATGAGGCGGGTATTGATCTGTCGTAAAGGGGTTGTACTTCAGTCTGGGATGGAAAGGCTCCGTGGAAAGTCTGATAGTCGCTGCCATGGAGCTGCAAGAAGATATGGACTTGTAGTCAAAAGGACCAGTGAAATTGTAGAGAAAGTGCTTGCAAAGCATCAGTATAGTTTCTAGTAGTCATTATTTTCAGGCTCAAAAGAAGAAATCTACTGTAATTTGCAAACACAATCTGTTTTGAAGTAAAATTTACAGCCCATGTAGGCTACGCTCAGTTCTACTTCTTCGCTATTGTGATCGTAAGGGACGACTATTCTAACCTAAATACTAATACCCAACGAAATTTCTTGATTGTCAGAGCCTAATAAGGACGCAAATTTGTAGTTGCGTAGTTGTGACTCCAGTGGAAAAAATTCAGTACGGTCACAATCCAAATTACGACATTGATCTCTAACAGTTCGGCAAGCTATATGAGTACCCTAAAATCTATCAGAATGAATTATTTTAACAGTGACCGCATTTATTAATGAGCACTAAAAACAAAATCTACCTTATAAAAACTAGCTGAACTTCATCTTATATATAAAGCTGAATGTCTGTTTGTCTGTCTGTCTGTATGTCTGTCTGTATGTCTGTCTGTATGTATGTGTGTACGTATGTTCCGAATACAAATTTTTATTTCTGAACCGATCGGGACCAAACTTGGCACACATATACTTCAGGGCAGGGAGCGTGTCATAGGCTACTTTTCGTTATCGATCGATATCGATTTTATTGATTTTTTGCAAAATTCGAGCTAGAGGGCTGGGATTTGGCAGAGGGGGGTAATCGAGCATGCTGATCACCCCGAAGGGGTGATCAGCATGCTCGATTACCCCCCTGTGCAAAATCCTAGCCCCCTAGCTCAAATTTTGCAAAAAATCGGTAAAATCGACATCGATCGATAACGAAAAGTGGGCTGTGACACGCTCCCTGCCCCGAAGTGTATGTGTGCAAAGTTCGGTCCCAATCGGTTCAGAGATAAAAATTTCTATTCGGAACATACGTACACGGGTCTAGCTGGCAGGCCCGGCGGAGCCGGGCAAGCCAGCTAGTACGCCAATAAAGCTAATGAATATATGTGGGAAATTTTCATTTTGAGGTTAATTCCTGGCCTGAAGATACTGCTAGGGTGTATAGTTCATTTTCGATGATTATAACCTCAAAGTTTGTCGACGAATGTAGCTAAAGTTAATGGGATGATGATACCCGAAGCTTACTTAGACAAGAAAACTTGAAAATCCTTAGAAAAATTTTACTGATTCAAAAGACACAAACAGATGACATAAGATTAGCCCAAACTGTCTTCTGAGAGTTAGTAAGCAGCAGAAACTATAAGTATACAAAAAGAAGAAAATTCGCACCCACTTTCTTCAATTCATTCATCAAAAGATTGCACGCTTACACGACACCTCTGAAGTTTTCATTATTCAGCCCTGTCTTTTCCTATACGACATTTTGAAAAGTTTACTCTATATACCGTGCTTTTTCTTAGTCTACTCAATTCTGTTGTCTTCCAGAAAAATGTGATCGTAATTCATCATACTGAAAATGTCGTTTGGACAAATTTTCTTGGGGCTGATGTGGTTTTTTCTCTGCCCCAGCATTCCGGATAGCATACTACATATATCACATGAATTAAGTTTTTTTCTATAAGATCGCTCCATTCTGAACCGCCTCAGCTCGACTGCAAGTTTCCAGTCTGACAATCGAATTAGCAAGCCTCAATGGACTCGCGGATATCTCATCTACTGCGCACGCTGGTTGGCTCAGCACTGGATTACGGTAGCATATATGCAAAACATGATCCAATTAGCGATGGAGCACGTTTGCCGCCATACCACTGGGACTCGTAAAGCGTTTTTCATTAGCAGATTCGGTTTACGAGTGCTGCAAGGGCTAGCTACCACAGAACACGATATACGAGTGCATAGCCACCGGCCATAGCCAGCTGCCGGCTGAGCACATACGTCGTATGGTCTTTAATTGTTCTCTTTCTATGGGGATTAGACCCGGGTTTAATGGCGGGGGCCGCCTGTCAGCTACTGTTTATGATAGTAAGAGCAGGTGATGACACCTTGTTCCGGGCATGGGATAGCAGAGATGGTAGGGTGGATAAGCGGGAAATTTGTAGAACAAGCGATTTTGTACGAGGCGGGGGGGGGGGGGGGGAGGGGGGAAGGAGGAGGAAGGAGGAGGAATTCGATTTAGTAGGGAAAGAAGAATCTCATATTTGGTTCTTCGAAGAAATTAGGGCTAGTCTATCACAGTATGATTTGGTCAACAGACTTCAGGTCCCACAAAATAAAATTTTTTTTCCAGAACCTTCCCTCGATTGGACGGGTAACCATTCTATGCGAAAAAAGCGAAAACCATATACGAAATATCAAACGTTGGAATTGGAAAAAGAATTCTTGTACAACACCTATGTTAGCAAACAAAAGAGGTGGGAGTTGGCCCGAACCCTTGGCCTCACCGAACGACAAGTGAAGATATGGTTCCAGGTATGCTCTTTTTTGATCTCTTGAAAAAAATCCTTTCACTCTGATCAAAGAACCTTGTAGGGTTTCCTAAGCTATCAGAAACAAATGAAAAACCTTTATGCAAAATTCGCAACTTTTTGAATTTTAAAAAATTCGTACAAATCATCCATAAATTGCCCAAAGGGGAGATGTATAAAGACGAAATAGTGAGATCCGAATCATAAAATATTTTCTGTTTTCCATCGTTTGTCTAGTTCTCAGTCTCTTGTATCCGAGCTTAGAACATATGTCCATATGTTTGCAAGGTACTGTAGTCCACAATATAACAATACTTTTGAAAAAATGATAAAAAATAATTCTCTGAAAAGTTCAAATTCTTAGGGCCGCATGCACTAACCTCCCCGCGGGGAGGTTAGTGCATGCGGCCCTTAAATTGGTTATGGGGAGAGGGGGGGGGGGAGAGGGGAGAGGATGAAAAGACAAGAGATATTTCGAATGAAAGCGTACATTCTTAGGATTTCTGGCATAAATCTAAAAATTTTGGCAAGCCTATAAATTTAATTTGGAAAATAATGTGTGTAATACACCAGAAAATTTCTGCATATCTATTTAACTTTTGAAAAAATAGTAATTATTTCTGTGTGGAAACTCTTGTGCAACACTTTTGCAATTTGCGATCCATTCTCGTGGGGGGGGGGGGGGGAGGGGTGAGGGGGAACGATTCTCTGAATAAAACCCAAACTTTAATTTATTTTAGTAGTTAAACTATTCACGTGACTAGCTTTTGAGTTGACAATGTTCCTCTTTGATTTCACTTAACCTACGAGTATTTTCCTTTTTCTTCAAATTTATTACTACAAAGTTACTCCTCTAATAATCCAAAAAAATGTTTTTTTGCAGAACCGACGAATGAAGGACAAAAAAGTGAAACAACGTGCCACAGTCGACGGAGGTGGTTGTGTAATGATGCTGAAAGAAGAATAACTTCTCTGAAGAGCTTCTCTTGTAAGGAAATAGGTCAATTGCTCCTGTGGCGACTACGTCGCGTTCCTTCATTGTCGTCGTTCTAAGTCGGGTGCTCGACAAAAGCGTTTGAGAGCTAGGAAATGTCTCATAACGCTTTGCTTGCTCACCATCTCTCTACAGTAATCCTACAGTACGAACACCAACTCCCTCTCAGACACCCCCCCCCCCCCATCTATTCCATTCTACACATGACCTTTGCTCAACGAACTTCAAGTACCAATGAGCTCTTCTCTTAGCGCAAGTGTTTGCCATTTTTGTCATACTGTAGTAGGGTTTTTGTGAAATTTGTTCACCTTGACCAACTCTTGTAGAATTCGCAGTGGGTGCGGGCGGCTCCATCCAGGAGCAGGAAGGGGAGGGAGGGGAAATTTACCCACCCAATACCCCTGGACTCCCTCCCTCCCCCTCCCCCCCCCCCCCTGCTACCACCTTCTTCCTTTTTCTCAGTGATATAAGTTGAGTATTCTATGAGAGTCGCGGTGTTTTCTGTCTAATAAGCGCATAATTACCGGTAACTGAGCGATTTTTGTTTCCAAATGCTCGGAATTCTGTTTGTCATGTGTGATTTTTACTTTCTTCCTATTTTTCTTCTATTTTTTGAAGATGTGCATGGTTAACGTCAAGCGTGCATGTTGTTCCCCTCTAATGATGGGGCCGCATGACGCTAGCCATATGAATATTTTCGTGTCCGATGTACATTTGAATAATGCTGTTTTCTGTGGAGTGTAGAAATAAAAGTGCTTATTTATGAAGATTTACTTTTTATCGCGACTGCGGAGAAAGGAAAAAAAGCAATTCGAAAAATAAAATTTGTGCCAAAGCAGTACATACCCTTAGATTAACGGGGTTGGCAGCTGGAAGGCGAGACTTCGAGTTCAGTCAAGGCTTGAGAGTGATTAGAGAGCGCACACGTGAGAGAGACGCAGACTGCGTCGCGGGTGCGGGCGGTCCCCTTCCAGCCGCCAATCCCGTTGAATCAAAGGGTACTTGAACTTGATCACCAATATTGCCGATATGTAAAAGGGGTCAACAAGTTCGTCGCGCTCAGTCTCATGTGAGGGGAGTTAGGGACTTCTCTGTGTCGGACAGGGCTCACCTACTAATGAATCATTTTGGTTCTTTTTAAACTCAACTTGAATTATTTCCCTTCGATTTGATGATCAAAAATTGATTTACCAATTTTTCAGATAATTTTTGATTAACAGGAGAGCGATCATTTTAGTCTACTACTTTGAAGGAATGCTAGAAGAACGAATGTTTTTGGGACGGGCGAGGGGGGGGGGGGGGAGAGATGAAGAAAACGGTCATAAAAATTTAGACTACTGTACTTCCCAAGCGGTTATTCTGTGATAACCATGCGCAACCTAATATCAAAATCCTGACAAAGAAAGGATGCTTGGTCAAAGTGGCGTTTTCATATAAAATGTATATAGTGTACTGTTTAATAAAGCCTGAAATGTTGATTCCAGATCTGCTTTGGGCATCTGCAAAGCGCTTCCAGGAGGGAAGAGTTGTGGGATTTTTTGAGGCAAAAATTCAAAGATTTGCCTAAGGTAAAAACAGGTAATGAAGTCTTTCCGGAGTTCGAAAGGAATAATGTATAAATTAGGCTGAAGATCTCAATCGCATAGAGCGCTTTGGCAATTATCATACCTTGTTTATATTCAGAGGCTACACTTCTAAATGATTTTTCGTAGCCGCGCGTTTAAATTTTTGCCTGACTAGCTTCCCTCAAAAAGAGCTATTGGAATCAGCGTTCCATGCTCTATAAGACAGCCCATATTTTATGTGGATTCACTTCAAGCAAGTATCCTTCCCTTGTAAGGTACATAACGGAAAGGGAACAGATGGCGTCATCTGAAGCTCTATTCAGAAATGCCAAGCTTCTAGGGTTCCATCATACGTTACCACTAGTAACATTAGTAACATCGGTGATATTCGTAACACTGGTAGCATCGGTAACAGCAGTTACGTATGACCAAACACAGACTTAAAAGAGAAAATACCATACCGATTTTGAACTGTCTCTTCTCAAATCTAACTCTTTTAATCAAAAGGACTGTGGGGTTGGGGGGTGGGGGTGGGGGGGGGGGGGAGCATATTAAATTCATTACATTACTGTTCTGCTCATCTAGCTTGTCTCCAACTATGGCTGATCTTGTTACGATTCAAAAATTGATTACAAATGGCGTCCCAAATTTTCAAAAAAGAAAATTTAGCATGATCTTGAAAATTTATTGCATATTAATGTTCAACAGACAAGACCCGCATGTCAGAACAACAGAGGTAATTTTGCTAGCTTTCATTTTCGTTACTCTCTATCAGCGATTCATTAGCTCCTATCCTTTGCAAAAGCACGGTCGCCACATTTCTGGCCATAAGGCGTTGATGTTCTGCTGCATCGACGTCATCAGCCAAGGACAGTGTCCACTCGATCCAACTCCTCACAACGTTTCCGAAAAATTCGATAAACACCTGGAAACATAGTTTTATAAATGTTCATTCTGTAGAACTATAAAAGCAGAGACTTACCGATTGAGGTACAGCGTTCGCTATCGAAAAGTAAGCATACAATACAGCAGACCGTATATAGGCATCCGGATGGAACCGAAGCGGACCGACAACTTCTGCTAGCGAGCTGAAAATTTGATTTCTTTATAGAAAACACTAACTATGTATAAAATACGACTTGAAAAATTACCTTGCCATTCTCACAACCGTTGGAGCATTCGCTGCCTTCTGGAGAATTTCGCTAACGCAGAACAGTACACGAGCCAGAAACGGAGAATCACGACCCTTAAAGTACAGCCGAGTAGATTTTCCGCTTAATACAGTGTGCTTGCACAGAAGGTGAGATGTGGTGAAACTTTTGCGTGAACAAATAGCTTCGACTGTGACGCTGGTGAAATGCGCGCGCAAAATACTGGCAGTACTGGCGTGGCTATTTTTTCACGCGCAAATTTCACCACATTTCACCTTCTGTTTAAGCACACTATATTAAGCGGAAAATCTACTCGCTGTAAAAGGTAACGTCCTCTATCATTGAGAAAAAAAATTAGTAAACTGTGCAATTTCACCAATACTTTCTTGCAAAAAAGCTACAATATAATCACTTTTTAGTCAAAAAATAGAATTTTTTGCAGAGCCAAATTACAAAGTGCATCTATCATTAGTAATTTTCGGCTGGCTTTCGTTCACTCGCGCGTGCACTGGTGCGAAGCAGTCAATCTCGCCCACAAATCAATCGATATTATGAGTTTTTTACACGTTAGCTGTTTAAGCATGCTCCATGGGCTTTAGCGATGCACGCTAGTATGTAGACAATGTGACAAACTTCAACAAGAAGAAACAAAAAGCATTGCATAACTTATTGGTTCATTCAGATGAGTCAATGTAGACGTCATAGCCTATTACTGAGAGTTTGAGTCAACAAAATATGCCAGACGACGGTGGAGACGTCAAAATATCCGCAATTACGTACAGTCCGAGCTCGAACTTGATCATATATACCGTTCGGCTACTGAGCGAAATCTCAGAGATTGAAGGACACTTGAATGATTCTTTGTGTTCTTTCCCTTTTCAAACTGCAAAAAGTGTAATAATTTTTCCCGAGCATTTTGTTCAATTAAAACAGCCCTACTAAGTCAAATGATACGTGGGATAATGTGCACGCTGTGCAAATTCACACATTACCTTACATTTGTGTCAACTACATGCGTTAGCGCCGTTTCTGGGGGTCAAAAAATACCTTCAATTCCAGATGTTCTTCAGTCCTCGTCTTTAATAAAGGGTAGAAAAATAAGGTAGCCACAGGTGCAAATCGATTACAAGAGGTAATGGGTTCCGGTTTTTTCTCAGTAGTAAATCGGCGAGTATGAGAACGAATACGAGCATCTACGATGGATCTCCAGTCATTGAGCTGAAGAAATGAAAACATAAGTTTCTGCGAAAATTTATATAATCTTATGATTGAAGATGCTTTGAGAGAATGCAGAAATATCCTAAAAATAAATACGTACTTCTCCCTCCTCCTTCTCCTCTTTAGGCACTTCGACAATCTTTTTCGCTGGCTCTTTTTGGAATTCTGAAAGCTCTTTCGCAGCAGCAAGAAAGCATTCCAGGATAAGGTAGCTGAGTGATCATCTGTGAATTTCTGGCACCTAATATGACTGAGAAGTTTTACCGATGAAAGAATGAGCAATGTCGTGAAAACACTATATCTCCTAACTTGGGTGCTAGTTCAGGTCGCATAATTAGACACGAAATGAGGCATTGCTTGCGGGTTTCCTGAAATGAGATAAGAGTTATGTACACAGATTTAATTATAGCCATTCGAACTAGAGCGCTAACAAAAATTTATTTTGCAAAATCTTTGTGAAATATGAAAACGCAGCAGCTGCTTCAGTATTTTGCTAACTTTCACTGAATCAAATGAATACCTCAAAAGTGATGGCGAAAGAAGCAATAAAGCTTTGAAATAATTCATTTCTCCAGCGCTAGATTGTTTTTATTTCGGAATAATTCCTCCCAAGCTCCTTCCCCACCTCAAAATTCTTTGTAGAAAACTTATTCTCCAGATAGACAAGCTTCTTAGCCAACTGTTCTGCGATATCAACAAATCCAACAGCTTTTCTTCGTATCATAGCATTCAGAGCAAAGAGTGCTGCTTCAAACACCTGAAGGATGCCATTTTGCCCCTTCAATAATAACAGTTACTTACCTCGTATTTTTCCTTCTCACTTAACTGTTCCATACAGTCTCTTATGTAACTGGGTGGAGGTGCAGTCCTTTCAGGTTCTGCATCTGCTGGTAACTAAAGAATGAAGGCTAAGTGAGACGAGTAAGGGGGGGGGGGATACAGTTCACATACACTTTCAACATTTCTTTCGCTTTCTGGAATATCATAAGGCTCAAAGTCTTCTTCATCATCACTGTCATACGGTTGTGTATTAGCTACGGAACTGGACGATGTGGGAAGCTGCATATCACACTTTTCCAACTGTAGGCTTACTGTATCAACCGCTTCCTGCTTCGGCACAGGTGTGGTGCCATCACGTATACTGTAAATAAGATTTTATATGTGAAAAATATCTCTCAAAGAGTAATGGAAAGAATCCATTTACCTGCGCATCTCGTCCAACCAGCTGTCATCTTGGTATTCAAACTCAAGACGCTCTCCTCCCATCCATATCGAAAATGTTTCTCCAACAAACATTCCCGACTGGCGGATTATGGTATCTGGAAAATGACCAATCAATGTGAAACAGATATTTTTGCCCAGTACTGATACCCACCTGGATTCGCAAGACGCTGCTCAACAGCTTGAATAGCCGTATCAAATAGTTTTGCCCACACTCCTTTTTTGTTTTCCAGCTCTAGCTCACTGCAAGAAAAATTCAAATTCAAAGCTAGTCTCTTCAATATAACAAAAATAACTGAAGTTACTTGAGCCATCGACCCAGAGCCAAAACGACTCTTGTAAGATGCATCTGTTGCTCTACGGCCACGTAACGCACATGGGCAGGATCAGACCATACAGAGACAACAGCCTGAAATGAAATGGCTAGTAGATATTCAGAGGCTAACATATGCTAATCAGTCTGCTACTGCTATACTTAGAATTGTAGCAACCGGGGGTGGTGCAGGAGGAACCAAAGGGCTGCCGCCTGTATCCGCAGGAGATAATTAAGAGCGCGAGAGCTGTGGAGAATATTTTGGCAGGGATCCAAGAAAACTTCGGCAAGGACATTCTTTACGAAGAAATCTTCATAACCTCGCCTGGAGATGACTTTGGAAAATTTAAAAAACAGATTTGTAATGCAAATTGAAAGGCGCATTCACTGGGCCTAAAAGTAAGTGAAAATTTGATATTGTAGTGGTAACAAAATTCAACTACCATATAGAAACTTTTTGTTTTGAATATTGAAGTTTCAAGTTGCTAAAGTTTGGGGTTTTCATTCAAAATTCATTCTTTTTTCTTTGAGATAAGGGAATAGATTGGTTTTTGAATCAATGAACCAAAGCAATTAACTGTCATAAAAACACATCTGGAGGTTTGTGTCAAGATGCAATATGCAGCTTGTCTCATAACTTCAAACCCATTCTAATTCCAAATTTTGACATTAGAGGCTTCATAGGATTTGCCATTAAAACTATGTCGGTAATCCTTCAGGTCGTATACAGTAGCAAAAGTTCATCACAAGCAACTAGTTAACATTATTCCCTTATTACTACTTCATACTTTCAACTTCGTATCCGGAAATTTCATCCTCTTGCACCGCATCCGTAGCAACCCCAGAAAAAGGTTTGTAAAAAATGCGTAAATAGCTTAGGAGAAACTCGAATAAATCATCTGTATAGCAGGAGTAAAGATAGAATCTAAAAGCATTTGAGTCTGAACATAGGATTGCATTTTTGCTCAGAAAATTCCTGAAACTTTCTACTTGCGCTACTATATTTCTACTACACAGTGCACATATGCTGACACTCTTATATATCGTCGAGTCATTCGTAGCTTAATATGTGAGCCTGCACACAAAGCGTTTCTGCGGACGGCACCCTTAGCATTAACTTCTCGATCGAGTCTTTTCCAGCGTAACAAAGTGTGGAAGTGTATACTACTGACTAATTAATACCTTTCAAATTAAAATAGGCAAACAAGGCGAAGCCGCTGAAATAAGCAGGTTCCAATCTTCCAAGTTCGTCAAATAGCGCATGGTGTGCAATACGCATATTAAGTTACAAATGACTCGACCATACACCTCTGCAATTTATATGTACATGCCTGAAAACAATTTTCCATGGCTGAAAATGAGGGAACCAAAATTAGGATAATAATGTCTAAACAAATCTGGGTTATTACTCGAAACTGGTTTTTACAAACTATCATCGGCGAAGCCACAGATTTTCCGCCTTCTTCATGCGCTGATTTTTGGGGAACATCTTAGCATATGAAATCTGTAAAAGGGGACACTTGTGCCAGTTGAATTTCTCCTAAGCCGCAAAAAAATAATTCAGCATTTGCAAGCATTGCAATAAAGTTCAATTTGTCTACTATGTATATAGTGGGTAGTTGAGGCTTTTGGGATGTTTTTGGGCAGCGCTTTCTTAGTGTAATTTGCGCAAAAACGCCCTCACGCAAAAGACCGTATAGCAAGACAGCTGCTCTGTGCCTTATTGCAAGAAATCACTGCAAGGATTGGTAAACTGGATTATGGACTTCCTAAGTCTTTTCGTAGCCGCTTTCTCCTATATATATTTGGTTTTTTCGAGATCACTGGAGTTGGCGGCCGGAAAGCGGGACTTCGATCGATTAACACACTCACGACAATACGACCCACCGGTGGGTCGTAAGATTCCTGAAGCTCTAGCTTTGCCAGTATACGATGGAATTCTATGGGGTCTGGCACATAATTGTGGACACCTTGGCGAAGCTCCAGCCAGAGTGGTCCGGGTTCGGGACACTGCAAAGTTATGTCACGATGGGTATACCATAGATAGAGGTAAGGCACAGACTTTCGCTCAAATTTTTCGCAAAGTGGTGCTGTACTTGAAGGCACCATCCACCCAAATTCTCGACTTCCATGTTTTTGTCGCTTCCGGGCATTCTGAAGGCCCTGATTTTGAATATGAAGTCGAGGATCCCAAAAACCCCTATTTTGGAGAAAGCGGGACGGGTGGAAGTGCAGTTTGCAGGGCTGCGGCGCGGTTATCGCCCTGCGTATGTCCGCGCCGCAGCCCCCAAAGCTGCAAAATGGGTGGAGTGACCAGCTCTGGATCACGTATCACGTACCTTCCGGAGCGGATTTCTCGCTCCGAAAGCAATCTTTTGCGGGGTAACCTGGGGGTTGGCCTAATGTGGGGGCCCACATTAGTATGCCATCGAATCTCGTGAACCCTCACTTTGGGTGGACGGTACCTTTAAATATCCAAGTACGCGCACGAGAAATACAGGGAGGGCACGAGACTGATGTAAGCCCATCAAAATTGTCGATTTTATTGATTTTTCGGATTGTTCATCCCAGGAAGCTCAAACCTTATGTACCTAAGTTTTTTAGCATGCTGATTACGAAAATGATAGTCTCAAGTTCTAATACCGGCTTCTTACATAAGTTTTTTGCTTCTTACGAAAATTTCACCGTACTGCTACCGTAGTCCCACTGTGGGGAAAGTAGTGAACAAATCGGACGCTATAAACGTGATAAGCACATGAAATAACCCCAAAAAACAATTTTTCCTAAAAATCCATGATGTTGGGTTCAGAATGACTACCGTAACCCTACTGTATACTGCCATAAACTGAAATAAATTATATTTTTGTAAGCAGCGCCTTCGATAATCCTTATGGGAAAATTCTCGAACACATGTTTTGAACTTCTTCCAAAAATACCACCATTTCGGACAATACGACCCATGGGTGGGTCGTAAGTTTGACAAAGCGAAAATGGGGCACCAAGAAAGCTACACTACCGGTCTAGTTCTTAGCCCCGAAACCGGTCGTGTAAAAAACAGTAGTTACCTTTCGGATGTTTTGGAATTCTTGGAATGTTCTTTCTCATTGTGGGCTTATCTCTTTGTTTATGGCCCTGGTCCCAAACGGCAAAATCGAAAAATCGGCCTTGTCGTGAATGTGTTGAAAAGCACGTAAGCGTGGAAGAGCAGGCTCTGCATCTCCTTCGCGTACGTGCTCTCCAATCAACCGAAGCCCCGCCCTCCAGTTGCCAACTCCAGTGAAACAGAGGGTACGCTAAGCTTCGAGAATGAACCCTGGAAGAAAAGGTATTACGTATTTTTTTTTGACTGCTCAACCTATGCGCTGACTTCATTCAAACTATGGAAATGCGAGCACAGTTTTGCTCTTTCTGTGTATGGATCTTTGGAAATAGGAGAATCCGAGTCGAAGAGATGAGAAAAGTGACAAACCTCCATAGTTTCCACATACATCTCTTTAGTGGCAGCTAAGTGAAGATATTCGGATAATGTCAGCACTACGGATGCATCACAGACACGTTGAAGAAAAAGCTTTGTACAGCACACACGTCGAATTATGGCATTTCTACGAATGGCAAGCCCAAAACACCTCTAAAAAACAGGTTTTCGATCAAAAAAAAAACAACAACAAAGTGGTAGAAGCCTCACCATCAAATCTTTGGCAGATGAAGCACAAAGTCCAACGGCTGTTATAAGAGCTTCAGCATCTCGACTGCTAATCGAGTCATCCGTGAAGATTCGCTGAGCAATTCGATCCCATATGGGAGATTCTTCACGACTGCATAGCCACTTTACAACATGATTTAGCAGAGTAGTATCCTTTAAGAGAATAATTTTGTGACACCTAATCTTTGATTCAAGTGGTGGCGGCTGGGAGGCGGGGTCTGTGACCTAATTAAGGCCGCTCCGCCCGCGACGCAGTTTGCGTCTCTCTCGCGCGTGCTCTCTGATCATTATCTAGCTCTAATGGGGTCACGAAGGGCCGCCTTCCAGCCGCCAAACCAGTTGAATCAAAGAGTACATATCCAGAATATTCACCAAAAACATCCGTGAACGGGGGAGGGAGGGGGAGCGAGGGAGGGAGGATTTTTGGAAGGAAGTGCATAATTCAATGAAAAGGAAACTTACTAGAAAGCTCTGCGGATTTCCCAAAAACTCAAAAAAAGTTAATTTTGCAGCAAAGAATTAATTCGTTCAAAAAAATTTGGACCAAACTGGACAATTTAATTGCTGATTTGCGACACTTTGCTCTCTCAAGTTTAGCAGTACTCTCTCGAGGAAGACATGCGTTCCCCGCACCTTTCCACAATCCCGCCCCCTTCTTCTCCCACCACCACTACTGCCTCCTTGTAACGTCAATATTTCGAGTAGTTTTCTTACAAATTTCATTAAACTTCCAAAGCAGAACCTCTCTATCAGACTGAGGGCTCTATCAAAAACAAACCTGAACAACGATCGAACGACTCTTTGCCACTAGAAGCGAAATCACGCGCAGATCCACATCTTTCTCAGCAACGATTGAATCGAAGACATACTGCAGACAATCTGTTATCGCTATATATAATGTGTTCTGAAAAACACACAATCTTAAAAATCCTTCTTCATGCTAGCAAAGAAACCGTTCATTCACTTCAATAACTGGAAGACTTCCAAGAGCGCTCTGCATCACATTAATCTTCTTGGGAGGAGTACTGCAGGCTTTTTCACGAAGAAACACCAGGCACGATATAAATTGTTCGTAAGATTGATAGACAAAGTCTGAAATCATTCTAGCATTTACTGATGTATTACCATATTACCCTAAAATCCCATAGATAAGAGCGGTTTAATTTACTGGTGAAAAATGAATTAGAATGAATTGAAATTGAATGCAGTCACCCCTCTAACTTGATGGATGGATAAATAAAAATCGGAGAAGAAGTTTAGAAAAAGCTCCGCCCCTCAACTCTAAACCCCGCCCACTTAATAAAAAATTCATATGGAAAAATAGCGGGGATTTCTATATGAATTGTTTATTAAGTGGGCGGGGTTTATAGTTGAGGGGTGGAGCTTATTCTAAACTTCTTCTCCGATTTTTATTTATCCATCCATCAAGTTAGAGGGGTGACTGCATTCAATTTCAATTCATGCCAATTCATTTTTCACCGGTAAATTAAACCGCTCTTATCTATGGGATTTTAGGGTAATTGTATTAATTCGTGCACTGTGAAAGGTATGGCGATGCGACGCGGATCTGGCAGGCCCCACCGGAGTTTGGTGACTTCTTTGACAAATTATGAGCGGTATTTAGCTCAGATCCAGTAGCAAACAGAGGGGAGAGGGGAGGAGGGGGGGGGAGGAAGGGAGAAGTCGCGAATTTTTGGAAATAGGGAGAGATCAAAAATTTGCGCAGGTAACTCGTTTTTACGCGTGAGTAAAAAACTTCTTTCAAATCTCTAAAAATTCAATATAGTGCAGAAATTTTTTTCCAGGGAACTGACTGCCGGTGCGACCAACTTCGCCCTTACAGACCTTAAAAAATTCTAAGCATTCCAAAAAATATTTCCGGAGAGGTACTTGAACCGCCACTGGCCACCGCTCACGTTTGAAAAGAGGTGAGAGCTATAATTACTCTGGTTATTACGAATATTATCTGGCAGCGAATAGTCAATGTGACTGAGCGAAAAACTGGATTTCCTGAGCTATGCATAGCAAAGTGTGAAAATAAGAACTTACCATCATCATTGAGGCTGACACTGTCTTTGAGTGTATGAGCGAGGTTTTCACGTAAGCACAAAGTTATCCAAAAAAGGATTCGATCAGTCATTTGACGCGAAGATAATCGAGCCGTGAGCACGGGAAGGGCATAAAGAGGATTAGCACTTGAGAAACAGCTGTCGACATACGAGGAGATCTAAAAGTAGAGAAATTTGAGAAACCTTTTTTCGATGAACAAACTAGAAACCTCATTCTGAGTCAAATAATTGTCGATTTTTTCTATCTCATCAATAATTGCTTCCAGAATGTTGGAACAATCCTGCTCCCACACGATACTCTGAAATCAGAATTCTACTTCACTAGCACCTTATACACGGATGATTGGCCTGTTTCCAAGCTTAAAAAGTGTTGTGATGAAAATTTCGATTCTTCGTTTTCAGTGACAAAGCTTCAGAAATTTCATAAAACTAGTGCAGGAACCGACATCGATATAGCTAAAAAATCCCCGAGCAGCACGGAATATGCTTACGCAATGATAGGGGTGATAGGGGCCTCAAAAACACCAACATTTGTTCCACATAAGTTTGAGATCTGCTTAGACAATTCACCGGAACTTCGCAGGAGGCAAGCAAAATTTGCAGCGTTTCCGCAGGAGTTTGTTTGCTGTTCAAAGTGGAAACGTTGAAAATGGAACTTTCGCAGGATTTTCACGTCAGACTTGTTGAGAACGGAAACCTCCGCAAAACTTTTTAAAAGCGCTGCGGAACTTCCGAAAAGTGCCGGGGTTCTGCACCATTTTGATGCCAGTACTTACGCAGGTTTTTGGATGTGTTGTCTTGTACGATGTTGCCTCCGCAACAAAATGGAATGCATTATCGAACCGTAGTGCAGAGGATAGTAGGTGAGTCTCGCAGTCAATAGAGTAAGGTTCAAATCTCTCTTGACTGCGAGATGGGTTCTTAGGTGTTCTCTTTTGCCGTTGTGGTTCGCATTTTTAGGAACTTGCGCAGCACCCCATCTGGGGACTTCCACAGGTAATCGAGCGGAACTTAAACGTTCTGCGGAAGTTCTGGTCAGTGTCTGAGTGAGAAACAATTTGCCGAAGTTTCTATACTGCGCAAACATGATAGCCAATGAAATCGGCCGTCTATAGTGCCCGTCTATAGTGTCGCATTCCTACAACAAGGAGATTATCTTTTTTATGTATTCGCCTAAGGGGCAGTGGCTCGAGAAAGTTGCGAGTGCGAGGTTTTCGCACCTAGATGGCCTTCTGGACCCGCTGAATCCGAGGCTGTGCTTGAAAAGTTGAAAAAGTGTTTCTTCGGCGTTTCCGCTTGAACAGTATGAGAAAATTTTGAGATATTAAAAAGCAAGTGATAGATATACATATTGTGACAGTCAAGGACTTAGGAGATTAAAAGAATCGCGCTAACGATTTTGTACCATTGACCCGATTTTTGTTATCCGCTCTGAAAACATTCTCAAATCCCTTTGCTAGAATTACTTCCAATTTGTCCTAGAGTATTTGGAAGTATGTTGCGGGGCAAGACCTTCTTCGCCACGGAATATGAAGCGGTGTTTTTATCATTATATCAAAGCTATACAGAATATTATCGGTAATCTCTGAAGAAAATTTTACAATTACTGAATGTATTCTATACTCGTCTCAATCATGAAGCTCTGAGATTGTAGTCCAGGGAGATCAAATGTTCCAAAATATTACCTTCTTCGCTTCTGCCAAAATCCGCAGCACCACTCCTCTATCGTTAGCATTCTGTAGACGTTGGGAAACATCAGTCATATGGAGTACTTCTCAAAAAAAAAATTGTCAGCATTAGATCCTGGCTTTTTTACTTCGTATCAACACGGAAATCTCTCGGAACAGCTCGTCCAGTCAGTAAATTGTCTACCATATCGGAAAATTTTCTAGGGTAGTTGAAGTGCTTTTTTCCAATCAAGAAAATGAGTAAAAATTGTAAAAGACCGTGAAATCGCGCATGTGATAAAGAGAGGGGTATTCTGAGGCATAGAACCTAGAATGACAAATTCTGCCAGAATTTCAATTAGCAAAAGCTTTAGACAACCGATCGCTGTATTTAAAGCTGAATTTGTTGTACGTTTGAATAAAGAATGTTCTCAAAGTTCATCGCGAAAGGTCAATATCATTCCGCACGATAAATATGCGCAAAAACTTCCTTTATTTATAAACTTCTATCGCGCAGTGGAAGTCCTATCTAACCTACAGTACCCACACTAATTATTCGACAGAAAACGTAAAAACTGACAATCCGCGTTTTTTTCGTTTTTTCTTCATAACTTCCTTCAAATTGCATGAAATACAAATCCGAAGAAAGCATGATGCTCAGCTCGTCAAGATGAATCTTCTGATGTACTGCACTCTCGTATTATTCTGTTTTCAATCTGCTCGATTTTTGTGCGAGGACGGGTATTCGTAGTGGTGTAACTCAGCGAAGAACACACATGGACGATTCATGTAAACATGGTTCAGCAGTGCTGTCCCCGTAGATTATTATGTACTAGTGATTAGCGAAGGATTCCCTTCCCATTGGGAAAGATAGGCCGTTTAATTTTGAAAAAATCGATGTCTTTCAAATTTTCGTTACCGTAACCATACAGTAAGACGCTAATTTGCAAAGCAGGTGTGTTATTCCTGATCAGCAGGTCAGATAACCTCTATGCGCAAGTTTTCCAAGGAATTCGGAATCTTTCATTTCTTCTCGTTCTGGGCTGTGAAGCTCGCCGACGAGTTTTGGCTAAAACATTGATGATCTTGGATTGACCGGAAACTTCGCCCATAGAGGTTTTCTGACCCGCTGATTACAGAAATAGTGCCCTCTGTGCAGCATAAGTTCTTTTGGCAGAGTTATGCTGAGAGGAATGCTGCGATACTACGCAAGTTCCTAAGTTTGTCTGCCCTTTGCGCGTGTCTGTTGGACAACTTACCTGCTCCTTTTTATAACTTGAAATCATTAGAGGCAGTGCTCTTAGAGCATGCTTAAACTGGGCCCTTATCTGTATTAATCGCCGAACTGTTAGCTGACGAACTCACGTCCTCATGAAAATCGTTCGAAATTTTAAGATCGCATATTTTGGCCAAATATCGCCGCGAATGGTTACAGATGACTCTGATTGTAGATATTATGTTTATATACACATGTAAATTGATAATTTATGCCGCATACTGCTGCTTAACCCTTGTGCCAACTCTTACAGCTGTAACTCAAAGTTTACAAAAAATCGATAAGCCGATATCGACCGATGACGAAATGTAATCTATCAGACCAGCGCGGCTCCTAATGCTGGGTTCATACTGATTCCCATGTTCGGGATGTTCCCGCACAGTCCCGCAATGTTCCCGCACTGTGCTGGGAACTGTGCAGGAACTGCAACTGTGCTGCATGTGCTGCAGCGCCCCGCACGCGTTTTGAACGGCCGGAGTTGGAGAATTTTGACCGTTTTCAACGGTTTTTTTCCAGATTTCTCTCATTTTGGCCTTATTCCTCTACCCCGCTCCTTTTTTTGATCAGCAGAACTTCGAGCTCGAAGCGGGTTGAAGAATGAGCGCTTTTCTGTTCTGCGTATGCGACAAAATGCGTGTTCTTGCGCTCGTCCATTTTCTCTTCGCTTTATTTTTACACAGACTTATTCCATTTGTTCCAGGAAACCCCTGCGTAGTTTCCATAGCTATCTGCTATGAATTAGGGAGCAATTCTGAAATTGCATAAATTGAGATTCTTTTGTTTTGATGAGTTTTGTTTTTGGGCATTCTCCGCCCCTTTCCTTTTTCCATATCGTTGCTTCTCCTTCCTTTCTTCTATCCCGCTTCCCCCTGTGATGAGAAAAGCTGTGAACTTGAAGCGGAGTTGAGGATTGAACGAGGTTCTCATCATGTATCCGGGAAGATGAACCTTCTTGCGCTCGTCCATCTTCTCTGCCATTTTTGTGCAGGCCTACTTCATGTGTTCTAGAAACCTGTCCATGACCCTTTCAATACAGATGCGAGACTACGCAGCGCCTTCTAGAACACATGAAGCAGACCTGGGCAAAAATGGAAGAAAATGGACAAGCACAAAAAGAGCAATCTGCCCGGATATGGAACAGAACAAGGTTATTTTTTTAACTCGCTTTAATTTCACACCTTTTCTCATCACAAGGAAAGGGGCTGAGAATAGCCAAAAAGGAAACTCATTAGAAAACAAGAGAAAAGTCCCAATTCATGCAACTTCAGAATTGCTCCTACTCCCTAATTCATGGCGAAAAGCGCTCATTCTTCAACCCCGCTTCGAGCTCGAAGTTCTGCTGATCAAAAAAAGGAGCGGGGTAGAGGAATAAGGCCAAAATGAGAGAAATCTGGAAGAAAAACCGTTGAAAACGGTCAAAATTCTCCAACTCCGGCCGTTCAAAACGCGTGCGGGGCGCTAGTACTCTGCGTTGATACCACTGCTT